TGCATATCTTATGTCCAAACCGAATCTGGAACTGTTTAACTCCATGTGACACTCAGCAAACATTACGCATATTTTTGCGTTCGTTTGTATATATACGTTCACCCTATGGTCCTTGTAAAGTTAACTGCTTTTTAGACCATTAAACCTTGAATTACCTTGAATTAACAGGAGGGCAGTCTCCCGAGGTGCCATCTCTTTGAAATCGCTCTTCCAATGAGGCACTGTATCCGCAGAATAAGCTGTCTTTTGGCAAACTCAATTGTTCCTTGTCTTTAAAGAACCCCATGGCCGTTTTCATCGAATTTCTCCGTTCTTTTTTCCTCTCGACAGTTCAGCTTTCGTTGGACTCAAAAATCGATCGACCGATCCCCATCTCCACACGCCAAATCAGTAACAGGCACACCATTATTCGACCGCGTTTCGAAAACACAAGAAGTCAACTCAATCACACATGTATAAGGTCTTTGTATCAAATTTTATGAATAACAGTTGAACATCTTGGCTATAGCCCAAAGTGTTTGTCAGCGCTGCAATCATCAATAAGGTAATCGATGGATAAATATACATATATACGTGAATATGTGGTGGCGCTCTTTTGTCATACGGTTGCTGAATGGGGATAGATAATCTATTCTAAAGCGACTAGTTGATATGTGAACACAATTCACATCGTGGTGTCGTGAATTAGTTCGCTTGCTGGTCAGTCAATAAATACATATGTTATATTTGAACTTGGCTGGACACGTTTACCCCCAAACCAGTTGGTTGGTTTTCCGATTGTCACGTATCAAACTTTTGTAGCCTCAAACTTGTCACTCTTCTGGTACAGGACTTGCCAACCAGATACGTTTTAACCTCTATCAGAGGACACTGCTGTCGGCCGTAAGAGACATCTCAAAACTTTCCGCATTAATCCAGAAACCACCATCAACAATCTGTTTCACAGGAACTATGAACTTTCAAAGCCGTAAATTATTCAATGTGCTTTGGTGCAGTTTAGAAAGTAGCATAGTGTATCAAAATATCTCGCAGGCAGTCACGCTGAAAATGCCGCTGTGTGCATGACCTCCAGAGCTCCATGAGGATGGCCATTTGTCTTGTTTTCAAATTAATGAAACAGAAGTAGATCTGACAGGCCCTTCGTTTCCTAATTCATACCTCAAGCGCTGATTGAAGCTCACTTCGGGTCACCATAAGCTTATGGTGAATCAGAACGTGATACAATCGCCGAAGTACAGTAATCGAAGCGTATTAACAATATAGACTAGTTTCTAATTTGTTGAAATATTGGTAGCTCGGGTGAGTTTATTGGTTGTTGATCAGGTGGCTGTTGATCTGTTCGCCGAGCTTGGCAAACGTTTCGTCACCATACGAGGAGACATCATCAGTGCGCACTCAACTGCGCAACCCCTACGTACAAAATACCAACATCTCAACGGGAACACTCAAGGATGACCGAATATTGGATTGACAAACAAAGAAACAAGGAACCCCATGGGGTCAAATCAATAAAGTTCACAAGCCGGGACTCGAAAGGATAAAGGCCACTCCAGCATCGACTAGAGTACGACGGCAGGAGATGCTAAGCACAAAGGCCACGCGGGCATCGGCGAATGAGGACATAGGATAACAGAATTAACCATTGGAACCACCCGAGCGAACAAAGATCATCCCCGGCCAGCAGCACGTACGTTAACACACGCGTCACACTACTAAACGCACAACCACCAACCCACCGCTACACACCACTACCCGCCCCAACAACGCACTGATGATGTCACCTCGATTGGTGATGAAACGTCTCCAGTTAGCTTGCCCAGCTCAGCGAACGAGCCAACAACCATCTACGAAAGTTTCTGTTTGATTAGAACTCACCAGCAGTTCATATCCTTGGCCACCCGTTGTCTCCAGCCTATGTGGTCTCTTTCAGTCATTTTGTTGTGTGTGTAGATGTGTGTGTGTGTGTGTGCGGGTGTGTCATCGCGCTGCTTTCAGTGGATCCAAATTTGCGGTATGCAAACAACTATTTCATGTACTCTTATGAGTCTGACACAGTACATCATCAAAGTCGGCGAGGTATCGGTACCTACCATCTGGAGGCCAGTAGAGCATGTGACTAGCTAAATCCATGAAACCATACCTACCGTGGTTGTAGCTATTTATGAGGGCCGGGATTTCATCTGTCCAAGATTCTCCCATCGGACGGTCGATTAGAAGTACTGAAATGGATAGTGCTCACTGTTTTCTTGCCTTATTCGAGGATCACAGGACGAAGCTATGGAACGTTGGGAAACGACCATTTTCCCGAAGATGCCCGAACAATGACTTGATTGAACTTTAAGTTCGCAAAGTCCAAGTGAACGTGAACAGCGCGAAACCAAAGACGTAGTTATTCAGAAGCGTAATAGATCTCTCACAAAAAATCTAGCGAAGATTGCGACGAATTATTGCTGCGAGCCATTTTAGACTGGTCCATCCATGTAGTTTCTCCAAAGTTTGGTTTAAATGTCATTCAAACTCTAGAGTTTCCATCTTTAGTCTCGAGATTGACCAATAAATTTGCTGCCTCCATTTCACTCATTTTGGGCGGATGTTGCAAAATTCAACAAAAAACAGATAATCATCCGTCGTGTTTCAGTTGGCACGATATTCGATATATAGTGTCAAGTAGATCATCAGGTTGACGGAAACTCGGGGACTGCGCCCACCTGATGAGCCCAAATTGGAAGGACGAAACCGGTCGTGGGATGTCGAAGAGTTTTCAGCAACCTTGTGAGTAGTTTCCCTTATGAAAATATACTACGATATCTCGAATATCGTGCCAACTGAATCATGAGGCGGCCTGTGTGCAGCACATTCAGTTGGAGGACATCATAAACGAGAGATTCAATTGAGTCTCCCGTGAAAACCAAATTGATTTGCAAATGAGTGTATTTCTCGAAAACAGTCCAATTTGGGTTCAAGTAGAACATGAGGTTAACGGAAACTCGGGGACGGCCCCTACCTGATGAGCCCCAAGAAGGGCGAAACCGGTAGTGTGCTGTCGAGGTGCTTTCAGCAACCATCCTTATTTAAGAACGTTTGTTTTCATCCCACCATTCCCCATGACTGAATAAGTTCACACATCAACTATTGAACAAAGTTAATTTTTGACGTATGCGTGGATTGCTCTCTGAATGAGAGTCCATCAAAGAAAAAGCATAGTAATACTGATAACAATTATTGGTTTAATAACAGTCAGCCTCAAAGGACACCCAAACAAGGTCACTGAGGACAAATAGTTGTCAGGCAGACTAGTTACCAAGACTTGCTTTGGAAATGGAAAAGAAAGTGATGTTCTTTTTCGACGTTGCGAACGCGGGTAAATCGAAGAGGAATATGGCGATAAGCATCCAGATGAAATAAAAGCACGGCAGGATTGTATACAGGGCTAAACATCGGTCGATACAAAAGTCAAATCGGGGTTGTCAAGCGCGGGGCCCATGTCTCTCCCACCATACAAGCGCTTGATGGAGGAATCTGCCCGCACCACATCAGTTATTACGAATTAGGTTCTACCCAACCGAGATGTAGCTTCAGTGAAACGCTGACTCTTTTTTAGAGCTCAGGAGATTGATTTCCCTTTGAAACAAGCCCCAGGCTCTACGGGTTTTGACATGGAGTAGGTGTCAGTCTATAAACGAGATCAAAGAGAAGATCACCACGTGATTATCTACAACTACCAAGGCAAAAATAGTTATTCAGATGAGGAAAGAACTAATCTTCGAGGAAGATACGTGAGTCGAAAGCGACTGATTTGTACACAATATGAGCGATTTTCACAAGTTAACGGAGTGTAGAAGGAGATTACAGTACAGGTGACTAGTTGCTGCACCACAGTGGGAACCAAAAAATGAACTGGAATTGTTAATTTAATAGTGAGGCTCTCAAAAATTAGCTGAACGCACAAATGTATTGTGGGAAAACTTGTTCAGACATGTTGATCTTCATCGTCCGGTTGAAATATTAACAGAGTGAACTAAGGAATGAGTCGGAAAATTCCAGCGGTGGCGAGGGTATTTGTTGTGATGGGTTACCTGGAGATTGTCTAGTGTGTTCTTCCTCAAGATGATGAGCAGGAGTTGTGCTGGAAACATCCTGATCATGGGAACACTCCTCGTGATGTACTGAACCCGTAACTGAAGGTTTTCCTTCCGTGGTAGCGATGAAAGAAGGGAATAGATATGAAGTATTCAATGGGGTCGATTCTAGTTTGCTGGAACATATACCATGAACTGAGGGGGTCAGAGAGCCACCTGGTGGTTGGAGAAACTGTGACCCATTGTCTAAAGGTTGAAGTGTCTGAGGAGGGTCTGTAAGCAGTGGTCCCAAGATTGTACTCGCCCGAAATCTCGGATCAATATAGCTCCCATTATTCAGAGTTGTTGGGACACCTGTATATATCCTGTTGGGATCCACGGTGGTTGCCACATAAAAAGGCTCCATAGTTCTTCGACGCTGAAGTGTTGTCAAATTTCTGGGCAATGTTGAAAACCGGTTGGCATCGTAATTCCATCCACATTCTGGAATCCCACCTACTGAATAGTGGTTAATTGCTTCAGCCGATGGGAAAGGTACTGGCTGTTGGAAGTTTGGATAGATGGGCGAACTGCACTGAAGGTCTGCCGTCTCCACCGGAGGCTCCCCGAAAAAGGCGCATTCGTTGAGTGATGGTAAAGGTGGATAATGACCATGCATAAAACCGCAAAACCGAGTCGGGGAGTTATCTACAGAAGCCCAGCGTTTTGGGGGTGCCTGAAAGTCCAGGGAGTCCGGTGGATTAGTCTTCTTGGATAAAGATCTGTAATCAGAGAAAGGATGGTTTTCAGCTACTGGGGAAGGTTCCGAGAAAACCGAAAGGAAGCAAGCAGGCCAATCTCATCTCTACTGTATAGTGTTTTACAAGCCTCTCTTCGTTGCACACGCAGTGATAGGGTGTGTATCAGTAAATAGAAATGGAGCTCATGACCCTATGTGCGCGTCTACTCCACGAAAACACCAAAAAAGTAAAGACAACTATTATCTCCAAACTGATAGGCCACTATCAGCCACAGTTCATTTACAATCAAACTGATGAGTACTCTCCGAAACGGTATTGCACGCAGACTTTCGAAAGCCTTTCCGCTAGTGTGTCCGAGTGCAAATGTCAAGACTGTTGCTTATGGAGCAGTGCGGATTTTTTGTTACCGACATCAAACGTTGTTCCCCTTACGCAAAACTAATTAACCAACTTCTGCTTTCCTTCATGCTTATGAGTTTTCAGTAGACTGGTCGACAGGTTGATCCGGAAACCGGATTGAAACGGCCAAGATGAAAATCGCGTGTCAGGCATTCTTGATCAGTCTGATGAGAACATACTTTTGAGATTGGGTACTATAGACTACCGGGTAAAAAAAACACAGAAACACATTTATAAGGTGTCTCATAATAAACGCAAATTTGATTTGGTAAGTGCTCATAGACAGTCAAAGAAAAGTTAACAAAATTCTTCATTATTGATAGCTACATAAGGGAGGTTTTGTATGCAATTGTTGACATTCTTTTCTGTTTACTATAAATGTCAGTACGCGCATTGAAATTTTGAAACTCCATTATTCCCTTGGTGAAAGCGCAACCGCTGCTTACAAAACCAAACATGGTCTCATCAAAGATCCTTTCACCGTGTCGACCATTACACGCTCGATTGCGAACTTTGAGCCCACTGGATCTTTACTGGATTTTCCGGGCAAAGGGAGAAAGTCTCTGGGTGATGAAAGAGCGCCCATTGTACAGAATGACGTCGAGCAACTTCAGCTCCATAGCACCAGGGCATCTTCGTCAATAACTCAGGTGTCGCAGTTCACCGGCATTCCCCGTGTCACCTTGCTCTCAACAAGATGGCGTTCCACCCCACTACTCAAACCAAAAGCAACTTTCTGATGAGAGAATCATTGCTCTTGGATTTCCAAACATTTGGCCCGCAAGGTCACCCGATCTCACACCTCTGGATTATTGGTTTGGGAATAATCAAGACTCGCGTATATAATGAAAATAAACCAAAGAATTTGGTGGAGTTAAGAACAGGAATTGAAGAGGAGTGTGCACGAATGACGCTTGAAGAAGTTAAACATGGGGTGTCTCACATCTCACTCCAACTCCAAATTCTTATAGAAGGAAGAAGCGTTTTTTCAACATCTTTTGTAATGCCAAATTGTTTACAATCAACCTCCATAATGTTCACATAAAAAAGTGATGAATGTTTGAATTAGTGTTAAAGTTTTAAGATGAATATTATTTTTGGCATCAATTATGAGACAGCCTCTATATGGATACATATGCACATATATTCATACATAAATTCGACCAGTGTCGATCCTGCACTAGAGCTATCGGCGTTGCTGCGTCGCTCTCTCTCTCACGCACACACTACCTCACGGGACAAGCGGATGCGTGTAACTTCAGGGGACTCGCTGGACCCTCGCCTTCAGCGCGTGGTTCCCATTCTCCTAATCCTTGATAAAAGAGGCTGTCGCGGCCGGAACCACTGCATGTCAAACGGTTCCCAGCTTTGAAACTGACTAACAGAATTGGTTCATTTATTTATCCATTTATTTGTTTATTAATAATTAACCAATGAACGAATGAATGACCAGTGTAGCTCATGGCTCCGACGGAGAAAGTTTAAGTGTATGTATGCCGTATGCCTCGTTAGGACTGTTGCTTGTATCAGTCCTAAACCGGGCTGATTTTCTGGTAGCATGGAGCAAACTGTGGTGTAAGTTGGCATCAAATAGTCCCCCTCTCTATTAAAAAAACTCCTACACTAGCCGGATGGACGAAAGATAAAAAGGTGGGCGTCGATTTGCCACACGAATATTCTACCAGACTAACGGGCTCGATGGCTTTATAAACAACAAAAGGGGACCCGCCACAAATCTACAGTATAGGTTATAGACCTTTTCATGAGTTGCAATACACTCCAGGCTACACCACGAACCCTTCCCTATGTAAACGGACTCTGGGGGACAGTAAGTCAGACGAACACGTTAGTACGGACACGGCTGTATTGAGTACACGCGGTCAAACTGGTACGCTTTCGTGGCAGGTGAGCAAACAACTGGGTCATATCCAGTCTACCCACCAACCAATCGGACACGCATCCAATCAGCCACTCAAGTCACACGTCAGATCGATGGTGGAACGACGAACGGACACGCACACGAGCAAACTCTCTGACACACCGAAGCAGCTACTACACCATGGAAGATTTCTTACCCCGCTCATTACTAGTACGGCAATCGTCTTGGCCACTCGACAAGGTGGAGTTCAACACTGCCTCTTCCGGCGACAAACTTCCCAAGACGTAAACAATTACAAGAAGGTCGACCAAAGGACGACAGAGAACGGTAATTGAGAGCAAATGTGACTGGCCGATGTCTGTGCGACGGGCATCCCAACAGAAAAACAAGAGCAACACCATCTGCCTACTCTCTGAAGTCAGTTCCGACCGCAGCACGTTTTAGACATGAACTGAATGTATCACGAAGGAGCTGTCGGTTATAACACCTCGTTTGGTATAGGATTTCAACCATCCGATGAAATGTCGAAAAGGCCGACCGATGGTAGTTACTTGTTGCAGTTTCTGTTGGAAACAGTTAGCCAAAATTCTAGTTTTCTCTTCAGATTTATTGCTGCAGATTTGTACGGAAAACGTCAATTCAACGAAGACTGAGAGATGTCTAACCAAACTACGTTCTTTTAACGAGTAGTTTGTCCTATGAAAGAAGAAGCCAGCCTATGCCGAGAAGTCGAGAAAAACTGTATAGCTGAATCATTCCCTTTGGGAATCATCAGCGGTGCGCATCTTACGAAGTCCAAAGAGTTTCGAACCCATGACCTCCCAACCAGTAATAGGAACATTTGACCTTTCGATCACAAGCGACCAATCGCACTTAGAGAGGACACATCGCTACTCGTCCTTTAATTTTTGTCTTGTATGCGTAGCCAGCCTCTCCCCAAAGGCCATTCGTTGCGTAATCAAACTGCTATCTGAAAGGTCGTCGGTTCAAGACTTTCGGGAGTTTCATGGGATGCGCACCGCTCATGATTCCCAGAACGGATGGGGTGGCTGTACAGTTCATCCAGGCTTTTCGACATAGACTGGCTTCGATTACAGGACGAGGTCTCCATTAAAGCGTCTCCAAACTTCTTCATACAGCCATCAAAATTACGTTCGCTACCAGTTGTATCTGAATTCACTAGGCGCCTAGATTTCTTTGTTACCTCTAGGTACAGACCGGCACGTGACCTTGAACACGAAGTCGATGCCCGGTGCATGCATGCGACAATCAGTGAGGACAGATGTTTTACAGCCATTCAGTTTCTAAATACCTCGCAACTTCCACAGCTGCTACACTCTCTCATCCACTCTTTAAAGGTAAATTTATCGTAATCAACAGAAACTTTCTTTCCTCCCAACTATATCACAGATCTGTGTGTCCTGAAATCCGACATCCAGTCGTCTGTGGCAGGTAAGACACCCAAAAAACAATTTTGGCCATTTATTGTCATTATTGAAGAAGATGAAAGTACGTCACAGATACCACAGACCATAAATCGTACTTTTGAAAGTTTCCGTGACCTTCTAAGCAAGGGATAGTGGACTAGGTTGCAAACACAATTGGCCGAAGTCCCGCTGAACACCCCTCATCCTCATCATGAAACGGCTCCCAAAAAAAGAAATTGGCCAACAATGGTTTGCCATAAATTAGGATGGTAATTCAGTATTCACAGCTATTTCACTGAGGCAAAAATATCCTGAACAGGCTGAAAATTACTTGCTCAACAAAGTACAGACTTGAAGCACTTTTCAGTACTTTCTTAAAGTTATGTACTGCGGCATTTTGCAGCCAGGTGGCACTGATAATACTTTTTCTCCACTCGCCTCAACAGGAGAAAACCGCAAGGAACCAGGGTGAAATGCGTGTGAACGCAGGTGGTTCCAAGCTCTGAGTAGTGATATAAGACTTGCGGTCAGTTTTGGTCACCTTTGGGTGCGAAAGTGGACAAAACGCTATCCAGCGCGTTTCGTCTAGCTGTTCAGCTGTTGCACCCTTTCGGTGCATAGCTACCATGCCACCCGAAGGTTGCACGAGGGCTGGGATACTGCCAGGTTGCCCAAGCCTAGACAGGGGAAGTCGAGAGGCAGAGGTCGGGTTCGAACCACGGACCTTCCGGTCAGTAAGTTCGCGCTTTAACCACTTGGACCATCTCGCCCTTCCAGCGCGGTTGCTCATGGGATTATCCTAGCCAGCAAACCAGAACGCATCTTTGCAATGTACTACTCATAAGGTTGCTGAAAACCTGTCGACAGCCCACGACCGGTTTCGCCCTATTTGGGGCTCATCAGATAGGCGCAGTCCCGGGGTTTCTGTCAACCTTATGTTCTACTTGAAACCAAATTGCACGAAATTCGCGAATATACACTAATTTGCAAACTAATTTGGTTGTATTTGGGTGTATTTCTCGGAAACAGTACGATTGGGGTTCAAGTTGAACATAAGGTTGACGGAAACCCGGGGATTGCGCCTATCTGATGAGCTCCAAAAAGGGCGAAACCGGTCGTGGGCTGTCGACGGATTTTCAGCAACCTTATGAGTAGTACATTACAAAGATATACATGTATCGCGATATCTCGAATATCGTAGCGACTGAAACATGAGGCGGCCTAGTGCAGCACATTCATTTGCCTGAGAACATCACGAACGAGAGATTCAGAACGCATCTTCTTCTGTGCGGGGTAAGCAAAAACGGAGGAGACCGGATAGCTTTCATCACGGCAGATGGTTGCGTCGGGTAAACGCACACACATTGATCGCTCATTTCCACACATGAAATAGCACCGTCGCTGGGTGTCACAGTCGTCGTAAGGGCTAATTCGGGTATCGTCTGCGAATCAGACCTGTCTCACGTCTTGGCGTTATGAAATCAGGTCATCCTGTCATGCTTTTATGGTTGAAAACCAGGCGGTAGCAAACTGGACACTAGGCGTGGTGACCGAATTTTCACTCGTTCATCTGTGACAATTTACAGAACTAAACGGACGAAACACCGCAATTTCTGTTCTGGAAAAGAGCCGTGGATGACGGCAAGTCGATTGTGCCGCTCGCTAACCACCGTCGCGGCTTCTAAACAGGTAGAGAATTCAGTGGCTTAGCATTCCACGCCAGTCCTTCAGTCAGTTGGTTTTTAGAAGAGTATAGAAGTTCAAACGTTAAGACGAGGCCAGGCCATCGGATGGTAGTTGATCATAGTTTTTGACCTATGAAATTCACGGACCAGCACATATCTGGAGGGAATTTTGCAGAGGGATATGTCATGATCTTGTACGTTAGTATAGTAAGGTGTAGTACATCATTGTAAAGCGTAGTGCACTGTATTATATCAAGGTATAGCCAAGTATTATATTGTACACAACAGTGCAGTATAACATACCATGACGCAGCACACTGTAGTTTACAACACCGTATAGCAAAGCACTGTAGTGGGCAGTAACGTTTACCTTGCTTTCTGCTTTCCCCTACGAACTGCGATCCATACCACGAAACCAGCGCAAACTAGAAGGAGGGCAGACATCAGAATCACAACCAAAATCGGCAGCAAGATTCGCCTCATTCGTGGCTGAAAAAAGAAGACAAATGCACTTGTAGTCCGTATGGATGGTTGTGCTATAAAGTTTGATCTTTCCTAGTTTCCATTAACTTCTCTGAATTCAATTTGTCATCCATCAGAAGGTGATGATGATATATTTCCACGCACCCTTGCAGCATGATAACTGAAGAATTGTGTCTATAGCTTAAGGTACACTAAGGAAGACAGCACTAAATAGCCAAATATCAGGAAGGTCAGATTCCTGAATGTAACCTCAGAATGCCCGAAACCTGCTGCTCTACCAAAACCTCAACGGGGAAGCCGGCAAGCATCCAGGCCAGTCAATCATTCAATCAATTCAGCAAAAGCTGATGAGTGTTCATGCACGCCACAGAAGCACGACCGAATGTGATCAGCGTTCAGGCATTTCATAGAGGCACGATCGATGTTGATGGGTGTTCACTAATGCCTATCAGACAGTCCCCTTTAGATAGCGTGGGGCCGTTGTAACGTTTGCTCTCGCACTCGCTTGTTCGGTATATAGCTGTTGTGTTCCCTTCTGTGAGTCTTTTCTCTCCGACACTAGGCACTGGAGCGGATCAGCAGCAGATACCACAGATTGACGAATCAGTAGACATAACAGCAAGTGAACACGGAGTTGCTACGTTTCTGGTGACGAGGACACCAGTATTCCGAATTTCCGATATCCGGATGATATTCAAAATTTACGAGGTGAAAAATTCCATTACACAGATTTTTACAGACCTAATTTCTGAATCACCTTTGTGACCCCCAAGTCCAAATCCTGGCTGCTTTGATCAGCAGAGAAATTCCTGGATCCTGAATCAAATGAGGTTACTGTAACCTATACTGTTACCTATATCCACAGGGCGATCAGCAAGCTGAACCGTTTGAAATGAACTGCAGGAAATCGGCTTGATGAAGAGACTCTCTCAGAACTGTGACAAGCAACCTGTGTCATTTTTCGGACAGATTACTGAACTCCAGCCACAACACACCGCTTTAGTCTCCCGAAAATCCTACACCAGATTTTTCAGGCTACTTTTATCTATCCGAAACGCTACCCCCACCCGTGTGTATTCCCTGGCTATTTTTAAGTTTCTTGTAGTCTTGGAATACCTACGTCAGCCTGATCAGAGGTGGAAACTCTCCACAGAGTAAATATTTATAAATATGTAGGCTTTTTTCCAAATTGATCAATCCTGGCTCCGCATATTTTCCACTAATCCCAATTTTTACGTGGCTCTTCAGTAGAGCCATGGAAGAAAGACATTGTACTCACCTAGACATTGATTATCTCCGTTATACTGAGAGGTATTTCTTTATAAGGTGACCGCGACTTGGCAAGGGGAAAGGGGTAGTCGAATAACCCCATCTACTTAGCTGTAAGCAAATCTATTCACTGTCTTCAGTATTGTTTTTCTTACAATGATACCCACTCCGCCAGCTTAGTTTACAGTGAATACAAACGGCCACGTTATTGATCAAAGTGAAGTGAACTCAGCTCAGCTCAGCTCGACCACCGGTACACAGATGGTTTCACGGATGGTGATGGTGACGCAAATGACTCCTATGCTGGTGATGATGACGATGATGAATTGACCAGGAGTTTGACTACAACCCTATTTACAGGCAATCATGGTGTCACAGACCCGTTTGTGTAAGGGATGTGTGCGGCCATATCGGTCAGTGCAGTTAGACGCTGTCACATTGCAAGACCGCACGATACAAGATAAGAACAAGCCTGATGTTCCAGAAAGTAAATGTATTCCCACTGATAGCTCGTACATGCTTCAGCTTGACCCCACGTCTGTTTAGTTATTCCTTAAGGTGAAAGCCTTCCCATGGAGCTGTTCTAACCTATACCGTTCGGGTGAACCTTGGCCGGGATTCATTCGACGTTTAAGTGTCCCAACAAAGTAGCAAACTGGATTACACATTGCATTGCTTCAGCGCTCAATGCTGATGTTCAGTCAATGCACTTTTTCAGTTGCAGGTTGTCCTGGGTCTGCATGGGTCTAAAACTAAGCCACGGTGCTGCGTAGCCAAAAATTTGACGGGAATTGAATAAGAGTTCTTATTTTTGGATTTTGGACGTAGTTATAACCTTTCCACATTCCTCTCAACTTATGTCTTGCCTCAGCCTGTGTCATGGCAATCAGTACAACATTCAGTACATTCACTGGTTGCGTGATCAGCACTGCTAATGGGAATCTAGAATAACTCGCAAGACTTTCTGTGAACTCTGTTCGAAACTTGCTGAAGTATTCATTGGAACTTCATTCACTTGACTCGGGTTACATATGTCTCCCACTGGTAAACAGCACATTTGTGACCACTGTTTAAGTTGTACAAAAGATTGATCTAAAAGAAACGGAGAGGATTCTGTCACAAGTGCTCACCTCATCATCTCCTGTCAGTTGCCTCACGCGGTGACCTCCTTCTAGCTCTGAAACAGTTGGACCCCATTTAAATTCCGTTCTCTTCCTCTCCTGCTCTTCCTCATCGGCAAGTTTCTCAACTGCTGAATATTTTCGAGGATCCTTTACTGGGCTATGTTTGTGGGCATTCCGAATCAACTTTGAATGGTTTGTGGGACCAACCTCCAGATGAGGTACCCTGCTTTCCCGTTGGTAATGCTCCCCATCAGGTGAGCCAGGCGGACGGTTCGTGTGCCTCTGCGTCACCGTTGTGACAGCGGTGGTTTCTTGGACTAGCGTCGTAGTTTCCGGCTGTTTGGTCTCACACCGCCGGCCGATGAAGCCCGGTCTGCACAGGCAGTATGGATGATCAGCATTGCGGTCTGGATTGGTGACGCAGGTGCCCTCGTTGAGACAGTAGTCTGGCATGCGCGAGCACAAGTCTAGACGACACGAACTGGTTTTGGTATCCCAGAAATAGTCTAGCGTAGAAAGACAGTTTGGTGAGGTTAATCAATACAAGATAGCCATCTGCGCAGAGAGGGCGGGGACAAAAAAGCTTGGACGAACACGTATCATATTGTGATGAATCGATTAGAATTATCAGAAGTAAACTACCATAACTTTTATGGCCATACATAAAAAAGAATGTTCTATTCTTAGTTGGACGTTTTCAGGAATTGGTGAGTGTCATCCAAGAAGAAGACCTCACCGATATCTACCGATCCATGTAGTTGATTAGCAAATGAACAAACCACTTGCAGTGACCAGGTGAACAGGCTCACCTGACCGACATTTTGGATTGCCGAATTCATCACAAATGTGCTCCGGTGCCTTTTGATCACAGAATTTGTCACAGAGCTTTCCAAAGTAGTTGGGCAAGCAAACGTAGTCTGCGTAGAACCGAACGATCCTGTGAGTGAAGTGGGACGGATAATCAGAAGAAACCGTTTCGCAAAGACACTCAAAAATAAGGTATGAACGATGATTTTGGTTAAAAAAAATTGGGCAGAAACCCAAAGCTGTTTACTGTTCGTTGAAAGCCGTTATTGTCCACCACACAATAGGTTTTTATTAGGACAAATCACGAAGTGTTTGGTCGATAGCCGTTTGCTTGACATTTATTGGATAATTATACATTGTTACTGTTCTATCTGCTGATCCGCCAATCTGAGGTATCTGCTGCTGACCCGCTTCAGTGCCTAGTGTCGGAGAGAAAAGACTCAAGGAAGGGAACACAACAGCTATATTCCAGCAAAGCGGGTGCGAGAGCGTGAGTGCGTGTGAGTGCGAATGTGCAACGGTCTCAAGCTATTTATTGGAGGGACACTGTCTGAACTCGGTCCAATGCTGACGCCCACAGTCTGGCTGTGACGTGCTGCATGTTGCGGGGGCGTTGTCTGACCTTGATCAACGCTGACTCGCGCTGTCTGGCCTTGATACAAGGCTGTGAGGCGCTGCATGTTAAGGGGGCGTTGTGTGTCTGGTCGACATCTAGCGGAGCTGAGAGTCTCGGTAGACTACGGGCATTCGGTGGTGCTTTCAGGAAGCTGGCCTTCATGACAGTTACTCAATAGATATACCCCATTTTTCAAAATCAAGGAAGCGTGGGGCGAGCAATCGCAGGGCCGCATATTTTAATTCTTCGTTGCAGTTTTCAGATTATTAGACAAAATCAGAATGACACATCCATCAGAGCCGTGTGGATGACCGATTGATTAAATGACACAACCATTTTCACAGATCCATTCGCCTAGGCCGCATACTATACATTTGCAATATATCAGTTTGAAACATTGAAACAAAGTGTTCCAACTCTGAAGGCCCCAATTACAAAATGCGCAAAAGTAACTTGCTCACCCACATCCATTCATTGAGCGTAACGACATCCCGGATAAAAATATACGCCAAACTAACAACACAATGACCATAAATATGGCTTAATGCCTTCTCAAGAGACTTTCCTGTTCACAGCCCATGAAGCGGTGCATAAGCTCGATTCATCCAATACGCTATTGCAATATTACTGGGTTCCTAGTAGTTTGAGGTGTTAGTTTTTGGTGGGGTCTCCGTTCCGACAGCAAAGTCAGCCTATGCTAAAAAGTCGAGGAGCACTGGTTATTGGGAAACATCTCATGAGACCGCAACGTCCCGAACCGATAACCGTTCGGTCACCAGTGGATGTTCAGCTAACGCCAGTCTACTAGAAATCTATGAGTAGTTCAGCGGGAGAGTGAAATTCACCCAAAGAGGGAAAGTGACAAGTCGTCACTCAGTGAGTCCGTCAACACGTGACCATTTCACGTGGATCCCGTGGTTGGAGGATAATCGGCACCACATTCTGTCTAAGTGCGAGTTAATCAGACTGCTGATCAGCCACTTGAGGCCGTTAACCTGGGAGTCGCCCGTTCGACATTCCCTGGAGCTTCGTAAGTTGAGCAGTGCTGATGCTTCCCAAAAGGATGAAACAGTTGTTCACTGCTTCTTGGCTTTCCGCATATACTGACTTCAGCGTCAGGACGAAATCTCCAAAGAGGAATAGTGGACATCCTCAGCTGTCATAAAAGGGATAACCCCCTTCATTAGCATACATAGTATTTGTCGTGGCAGCCCCGATCAATGAGTAGTGCATTTTTGTTGTGTTTGGACAGTATACGAATGCACACAATCTGTCAAAAGTGTACGACCACGATTGAAACTGAGCTTACAGATTTAGGTCCAATGACGTTGCTGAGATCTCCCCCCGATCAGTCAGTCGAAACTCCGTCCGTCGAAGATGTTGTTCACTTTGTTCACCTACGCGTCTCACCTTGACGTCTAGCTCAATCAGATTTTCCTGGAACAGTTGAAGAAAGGCATTTCATGATTTTGGCTAATTTGATATAAAGTGACACGCACAACAGTGGTGCAGACTAATTTGTTGTACAAATGCGAAATACATCGCGATGAATCATTGTACAAGGAAATTGGGTCCCATTTCGGCACTCAAATATACTTTGGATTTTTTAACTAAGTCCTCTTGTGATGTACAGGACAGATATCTTTTTGGTAGTTATTTCTCTCTCTCTGACAATGACAACTTACTAGAAAAATTCTAATCGGTCGCAAACACAATCATTTCGACATCCTCGAGACCCTTTTGGCTGCCATTTTCTCTTTGCTGTCAGTAGCATACCTACGGAATAGCAAAAACTGTCAAGGCTAAATGAGGTGCTACATTGTTCTTTGTTTGCCCTGCGAGAGCCTTAAAACTCCCAAATCCGAAGATCCAGCCTATCCAAAAAGAGAACGATTTTCACGGTTCCATAGGTGCAAATTAGCCACAGGGATGGTCGGGTGCTCGTGGCCCAGCTATCGAGTGTTCACTCATCAGCTGGAAGGTCAAAGGTTCGATACTCTCTTAGTTTAGTGAGATGCGCTCTGATGACGATTTCAAACAAGGCTTTTTAGAATAAACGAGTTTCACTCGTGGTTAAAACTCCCCATTGAGTGTTTTAAAAGCCTCCACTCTTCACAGGAAAGATTGCAGACCTTCCCTCAGGGTGAATAGAACCAACACAAATTAACCTACTACTTATGAGTAATAGGATTCCAGGTGGATGTGAGGAGCTTGTCACCAGAGACAGGACGATGGTTCCGTTGCCATTTCGGCTTTTTCAATTCCTATACTGCATATTTCGATCGGCGAATGTCTAAATTAGACGCTGTCTGGTCATGATTTGAGCGACAGAATATGACCTCAATCTCTCGGATTTCTAGAGCCATGATAAAAAAAAATTGAAGAGCTGAATCCACTGCAGCTTATCTCTCCCAGTACAACCAGAGTCACAGCTGGAAGCGCGTTATTTCCTTTGCTGTATCACCTTAGCGCCGGAAGCTTGCGAGTCGAACGGTCAATGGCGTGATGAAGATGGCTATTCAAAGAAATTTGATTAAAGTTCACTCTCAGTGCCACCGCCAAATAAAGAGAGCAGCAGACCATGTTTGCCAGACTACTGCACCTGAAAACAGGGTTTCTACATGAGCTTCGCGATAAGCCTTCACTACACGCTTAGTTGCTGGTGTCCTTTATGAATATTCTTGTCTAGTCCCGATAGGAAGCTTGATCAGAAGGTTTATTCCTCCCGAAGATCTCTCGGCCTTTGCGACTTTCTCCAGCGGTTACTATCCTCTACCTGGGCTTTCACGGTAAGGAGTATTCATTTCATTGCAGAAAAAATAAATCAAGGAAAAAAGAGCTTTTTCGGGGGGTTTTAGACAGTAACACCAATATTCATAGCCCTTTATACGGTTGGGGAAGTCACAAGTGATCCAGGACACAAAGAGCTTTAGGGTACGTTGTCCCTGCATGGTCAACAGATTGGTTGCTTTTGAACAGTTTGTAAGAAAAAAACAGAGCTCGTTAATTCAGAAATTGAACCCCGAATTCTTTGTTTCCACTTGGTCACGGTGCGAATTTCTCTTTCAAACCGAGCGGTTTGTACGTACGTCTAATTCACAAGTGATCCGATTGTCCTATGAACCGTTGCTTGACGGATGTGCAGGTAAACTACAGTTCACAACTCAAGGAGATGACCTGCGCCACTTGTTAAACCGTTTTCAGCAACCTCACAATTTGTAGTGCATGAAGTATTTCACTCGATGAGGTTAGGCAGATCCATAAAAAACCTATAAAATGGATTGTTCTCATCGAAGGCGTAGTGGATCCACAGATGGGACTGTTGTAGCATTTAGTTAGCTCTTTTCGTCGGACCCCGTCAGACATTTTTAGAATGAATGCCTCTGCCGAAAAGGTGCTTGGATTCAACCAACCTATCAAATAAGGCACCTCAGTTATGCACAGCACAATGCGGAATGTTCGGAATAGATCCGAGATATTAACGCGGTCGATGACCGACTGACTACAAGTTGAACGTGTTCCGATGTAGCTGGTCATCATATCAACAGATTGTGTCTTGGACTTCCGGTCATACTGGCCTGTGTAAAACCTATCGGGATGAAGCGAATCGATAGGCTCTAAGTGAATCCAGTCAGAGTCTTCACTTCAATTCCAGCTTCGCGCTGTACTTTGTAAAGGACAGTTGGTGTTCGACAGTGTCAACAGGAGTAAGAAATCTGAAGATTTGAAAAGGCCACTTTGGGTCGACAAGTGAAAAATGCATCGGCAAGGCAATGTAAAAAATGAAAACCTAAACGCCAGGCTTCATACGGAACGTACACCAAAGAAGGCTCGGCTAAATATCTCTTCCGGGGAATTCTTCGCTCAGCTATTGGATGAGAGTACCTTTGAAGCAATCTAAACTGCCACACGGCTGTTTACCCCTATACGAATTTGACATCCGAAAGCAAAAAGAGATTAACGAAAATCACTCAGTCAGTTAGTATCGCAGCGTGCAAAAAAGAGTTGTGTTGGTTTAAGTTGGGAGAAACTAACCTGACCGCCACTAGAGAGGGTCAACATAACTCTCCTTTTAGCTTATCAGTCCGAGCCTCTTGAGAGTATTTCAATTCGTGCCGTAGACAATACGATCGATAGAGTAGTTTTCAGTTTGAATGATCTAAATGGGATCTCACTGGCACTATTGTTCTACCTTAAGAACCTGGACAACTGATTGCATTGAACATAGCTCAATTGCCCTGATTAATCCGTGCCATAGAATTGGATTGGTTTCACCCTTATTAGATGACCTCACAAGTGCATTCATTTTGAAGTGCGGAGATTCAACCCCAGACCTCTTCTATACCACGAGAAAACGCTACAATTACTCCATCAGCGAAGGTTGGATACACCTGGATTATCATGCCTGATGGGCTGGTCAGAAGTGTCCAGGCATCCGAACCAAAAGTCCTGAGAGGTGAGTCAATCGATTGCTAAAACAAAATGCTTTTGGATAGTCGATTCCATCACTCGAACGCGGATATATTTGTCTGTTCGAGTATGATCATTTGTGCACATTCATCCTACTGTGTTCGACTTGTGCCAACAAGCTCCTCTCGCATGTCAGATTTCCAAGATGTGAATTCTAGAACAGCTCTCATAAGAACAAAATGAGAATTCAGTTGAAATAACAGTAAGCGATCACAAGTTCCACAAATTTTGCAACCAAATATGACAAAGCAATCACCGTTGAGCAACACAAAGTAAACTTTACTTCTAAAGGTCTATATGTCTAGCTGATTTTCACAACTATGTCAGGGTTCAAGTGGAACGTAAGGTTGACGGAAACTCGGGGACTGCGCCCACCTGATGAGCCTAAAGTGAAAGGTCAAAACCGGTCGTGGACTGTCAAAGAGTATTCAGTAACCTTGTGAGTAGTTTCCTTTATGAAAATACTATCAGAATGATTTGACACAGGCCATTCCGTAGACCTGTGTGTATGGGTAAGTGAAGAGATGTAATTACCTGAGGAATTGGGTGGTCGTTTATACGACAGCACGAATCTATGTGGGCTTCAACTCTGATTGCTGCACATCCAACCCACTAAACAGTGGTCACTGTGAGGCTCTCTATTACTGACAATGTACCCTCGAGCTATTTAGCCCGGGTAGACGTGACACCTTGAGAGTTTTTCGAACACCGTCTAATGTAAAACATGTTCGAAGTATTCGTTCACCAGTTAACAGGAATAGCTTGGTTATCATGATGGGGTTGGTTACTTTTGCCCTTAGATTTTCGAAAAATCATCGTGGATCGCCTGAAAACCAGACAGGTAAACTCCAACTCGCTTCTGCCGGCTGCAACTGACTGGAAAAACACCACGGGGTCAAAAGATCATCTGTCTCAGATGAGATGTTAATCACTAGCCTTTGGCTCCTCTGTTAGCCTACAGACGGTCCAAGGCTAGGAATATCTGCTCCCTTGCATCGGATTCAGCTTAATTCCGCGGCGGTCTTCCCACCCAAGGACCGTAAATAGCATATTATTGTTGAGTCTTTGATGAATCCAAGGGGTAGGAAGGAACTTGAAGGATCGGAATCGATGATGACCTTGTTTGCCTAGTGCCGGAAAAATACTCGCCAAAAAAACATAACCGCTCTATTCCGAACAAGCGAGTGCGAGAGCGTGGGTGCCAGAATACAACGGCCTCAAGCTATTTTATTGGGGGGACACTACCAGACCTTGGTCCAAACGCTGCCTCACGCTGCCTGGATTTGATACAAGGCTGCATATTGAGAGGGCGTTGTCTGACCTTGATCCGACGCTGACTCAATTCGACTGCCTTTGATACAAGGCTGTGAAGCGCTGCATATTGCGGGGGCGTTGTCTGTCTGGTCAGCGTCTAGTGGAGTTGAGGGTCTAAACAGATTTAAGGCATTCAGTCGTTACTTGCAGGAACCTGACTTTCTTGATATACACTGACAAGTATTTTCAACAATTTCCGCCCCAACTTCTTCGAACTACAATACGAGAGGCAAAACATCTTCCCGACCCAGTTATTCTCTCTGAGCACTGAAGTATAGAAAAAAAATCAGCCCAAATCATCTTCGTCACTTTGAAATCAATCAACATTCCATTAAATTACCCGGCTGCCCCTGCAGGCTGTTAACTATATCACTGGAAGTTCAACAAATACGGCGTAGTCTTCTCCTTGTGAGATGGGTCACGCAAATTTCTGGTGTGTGCCTGTTAGCTTTAATCACAAGACATGAAAAATTCAGTTTAGTCGATTTTGGATAGAGGGGAAAGTTTTATGCGGTGGTTAGACTATTCCGTGTAGTTCAAGCTCTTCTTTGAGTTACCATGTTTCCGAAAATCCATTGTGAATAGCAATTATGCAGGACCATGCGATTCGTGATCTTACATAAATGAAAATAGAAGCCATGGGGACAGTTGTAATCGACACAAGTAAAGATTTCCTGGAATTGCGATCGCCATGGGTCGTGATATGGCCCACTGTTAGGAAGTTCAGATTCCTGAAAATAAACCCAGAATGTCCGAAACCTACTGAGATATCCGAACCCCACCAAAATCGCAGTGGGGAAGCCGTCAAGCCTCTAGGCCAGATCGATCGAATCAATGCAGCACTGGCTGACAAGTGTTCAGACATGCCACACGAGCATGGCTGGTGATGACGAGTGTTCAGTCATTCCATAGAATCATGGTTAATGATGATAAGTGTTCACCAAACGCGAATCACACCGCCTGCATTATTGTCGAAATTGTCCTTTAAAGACCGTGAGTCCTCTTGAAGCATTTACACTCGCTTTTCCGCAATAAAACTGTTGTGTTCCTTGTTGGCGAGTCTTTTTACGACTCTAAAGCAATTGAGCGGACACAATACCTTTACTGCTTCGGGATGTGATATCCTAGTTTGTTGTTACTCTGGAAGTAGTCCTTCAAGATTTGATTATCCTGGGATGAAATCTCTGAAGATGAACTGTTGTAGTCGACTAGGTTTCACCACTTTATTCAGGTGTATTATCCGTTATATAATAAAAACTGCAGTGGATCGATAGTAGTTGTATCCCATTATGAACACCTTGTAGCGGCAATTTTCTGTGTGTCACAAGCGATGACGTCCAGCCGTAAAAATCCCAGTATACAAATTAAACGGTGGTCATACTCTTGTATGTATTTCTTAACAATTAAATGAATGAATTCTTTTCCCTCGCTAGCTAGTTTTCTGGCCCTTTCTCTTTAATGGCACCGAAGTCAAGACAAACCGGGGTTAGCCCAAAAATATTTCCGGGCGAAATTTCCCTGTTGGAAAAATCGCAGTGGTATGTCTCATTTTTGTTCACCCTAAGAATGGTATCCTGATCTACTGATAGTCAAGTGCTAAGTCTCTCTTTTCTTACCATTGAATACTTTCCATCGCTTGCATAAACAACTGTGGCATGTATGCGATGACATAAAATCACTTCAACGGATCTATGAAACTGAGAAAACTATCCGGAACTTTTTTCACCTAATATCCCCAAGTCAGTAGTATTGTGTTGAGTCACCTTTTCAGTGGTTACGGTCTACTAAGTGCCAGGCCAGTCCTGAAGTTCGAAATTCATGGATGAGAGTGATATAGACAATACCTTGAACTGCCACCAACATGCCTCTTGCATTCAAGCACAGGAAACGAAGGGAAAAATCCAATTTACACAAAGGAAAGTTAGCATGCAGCTTGGCAAAGTCATAAGAACTAACTTACGACAGAAGTCACCTCGAAATTGAAAGGCTCTGGAGGTCCTTGAGATGCGCAAGATGATTGGATGAATCGAGCTGCCGGACCAAACAACCGACATCTTAACAAATAAAAAGAGAGCCACTTGTGAAGCTGTATTCCAGTTTGAAAGATTTTTAGGACGTGTTTTTGTTGAGGCATCACAGGAAAGCATGCTCAACGAGGTAGTCAAAAGAACTGAGACTTGTACATATGGATTTAGGCCATGTTTCAGGTTCTAACATCTCATCGTCATACCGCGTCAGCGCGAGGAGATATCTCAAGAACAAAATCTTTCAAAATGCGCCATCTGTTTGCCAGCTAAAATCAAATCTTTCCGTCCTATATTGTACATACACTGAATCTACTACAGTGGGAGGTATTAAACACCTCTGGGGCAAAGTTACTTTCATGCTGGGCATCGAGACATTCGTCTCGTACACACAAACTTCAGTTGATGTCTATCGTTTAAGTGGACAACAGCATACCACCGTCAGTATTGTTAAAAATACTCTTTCTTTCATTCCACAGCAACGACAATGGGGAAGGACTGAATGTCACTCACACTTGGTGTTCAGCTGCCTAGAGGTTGGCAGAAATGTTACTCATGAGAACAATTAGTACAACGGTGAGCAATCGATGAACAATGGAGGTTCATTTGATTTTTTTCCGAAATTATACCAGATAAGCCGGCCTGTTAGGTTAAGTTTCGCCTAGTCTTTAGTCTGATGTGATTCTATCACACTGTCGCAGACTAGCTGATCCAAAAGCAATCAGTTTAGATACCGTCTAATTAGACGGAGATGAGTTTACCCTGGACTATAAAGATGCAATCTGTCCCCGCGTTGCAAATTCGTGTTCGTCGCGATGGCACATTGTTAGTTCGGCAACATTGAATCTACTACAGTGGGAGGTATTAAACACCTCTGGGGCAAAGTTACTTTCATGCTGGGCATCGAGACATTCGTCTCGTACACACAAACTTCAGTTGATGTCTATCGTTTAAGTGGACAACAGCATACCACCGTCAGTATTGTTAAAAATACTCTTTCTTTCATTCCACAGCAACGACAATGGGGAAGGACTGAATGTCACTCACACTTGGTGTTCAGCTGCCTAGAGGTTGGCAGAAATGTTACTCATGAGAACAATTAGTACAACGGTGAGCAATCGATGAACAATGGAGGTTCATTTGATTTTTTTCCGAAATTATACCAGATAAGCCGGCCTGTTAGGTTAAGTTTCGCCTAGTCTTTAGTCTGATGTGATTCTATCACACTGTCGCAGACTAGCTGATCCAAAAGCAATCAGTTTAGGTACCGTTTAATTAGACGGAGGTGAGTTCACCCTGGACTATAAAGTTGTAATCTGTCCCTGGGTTGCAACTCCGTGTTTGTCACGATGGCACATTGTTATTTCGGCAACACCAAGTAACCTAGTCGTTCGCTACGCAAACGCCTCATCTACCATGAATAGTGACAGTTAGTGATGAGTAACTGTTTGGCTTTGCAAGCGGAACGCACCCATGACTGAGGAATGTTTCCATCAGCTGATGTTTCGACTCATCAGCCCTACTACTCACGAGTAGTCCGTTTTATATCCGTTAAAACTAGTCAGGTCAAGCAGTGTTCTGCCCAATCACTGTGAGTTGTTCGTGACGTCTAGCCAGGAAAAAATCCTATATTACCAATCACAAGGTTTGGACTTGTGAAACGGTTGTCTCGTTGTCAGCTGTTTCACGGACGTGGCTAAGATTCATGAGGCCATTCCTCAGTGGCCAGCAGAAAAGCAACGATGACAGCGAAGGACCACTGTGCTCCAAAGTTCCAGCAGCTGACTGTACAGGGTTGAAGAGATTCTAAGTGATCGATAACAGTATCAAGTCCGTCGCAAACTGCAAGGCTTCATCAATCAGTTCTTTGACCACAAACACAAGGTTTCTGGTATCCGCAATGACTGGTGGAAGTGAACACTGGACGGCACACCTAAATAGCATGGGCTACGCATTTATCTCTTATAGTTTACGCAGTTGTATAAGATTATATATTCATGATCATCTTGTAGCGTAGCTGTCCTCCGTACATGTTGATCCCCTGAACATCGTACATTAGCAAATCAGATTATTCAAAAGCAGTTTGGGGTTGCTTCTGAGATATCCGCGAAATTTCCCGCGTTGCCCTAAACTATGAGACTAGTCAACTAATTGTTCGAACTAGAAATCCGTACGCTGACCATGACCGTACGACCTTGAAACACAGAATCGTTCGCACGCTACCACTCGGGACTTAGACCATCTAGACAAGATAACACCGGAAACGCGCTGTTCCGTTCTATAGCTAACAGTGTTGTTTGATAGTTTACAAATTATTTATTGATTGATCGTATGGAACGCTTCGCATCAAGAATAAACAATGGAGTCGCACGCATCTCTTTGTGCGTGTGTGCGTGTGTGCGTGTGTCACTCCGAAATATTGTGATTGGTATTTTTGTGCCACAACCAAGACACTCAGTGCTTTCACTTTTTGACACGATGAAGTCAGTCGTTTTTTTGTCCAGAGTCTATCCGTGAGCCTTTATAGGCAGTCACCATTTTAGCATGCAGTTGCCGCCGACCCATTCGTATTGATGATTCATTATGAATTGATTAATATCACTTCTTCTTTAACAAAGTCTATCAACCAGTTCGCCATATCGAGTTGTAAACAAAAGCTCACCTGAATCTTCAATTAGATGGTCAAACAAAATCATTCACTGGAAACCGACCCGATTTAGGTGTTAACAATGTCAGCCCAATAGACAAGAGTGTCTTTTGCAGGATCACGGTTGCTCTAACTAACCACTCAGTCGAGTCACGGGACCGTGGATAGATGCATTGGAAGGAATTTCACAGCTATATCTGTGACGCTCTCATAAACACCGTTCCGGAGCAATAATTCACAGCATCACAACAAAATCGGAGGTTTCGTGTGAGCTAACAAGTGTGCAATGCTTTACGAAAAAGTATCTTCCCACCTGCCAGCCTTCAATCACGTAGATTTTGTATTGGCTCTACCAAGATTTCTGAGTCGTTGTTCTAGGTGGGATTAGTGGAATTCGTGCTCACACCTCCCCGTTTAAAACAGTTGTCCTCCTGTCCTGGTGCAATTGTTCTGGTGAGTCCACACCTAACGGTGGGAGCACTCATCAACAGTACCGAGGTTCGAACTCCGGACATCTGATATGCGACTCGCGCATGTTGGCACTGTCGGTTCACAGTGGTAGCGAGGACTTCTATTCCACTCATCTGAACTCAACCAAGATCAAGTTGTGGTGTCTGTTGGTCTCCCACCTGAGTATCGTATCTAAAGGTGTGCCCACATGACGTGCAGCCTTCCGAGCACAGAACAGTTCAGTCACTCAGACTGAATATCTTTCATACATACATCTTATCTTCCTCAACTATCGCCTGACAGCAAACAGTCAGTGCAAACAATTCCAAGACGGACGAATCTTAGAGTGCGGCTAGTTTTGACAATAAACGACCAACGCAATGTACTCACGCAGTAGAAAAGTACCATCATATGACTGATATTCATCTGTTTGACAGGACGTGATCATTTGCGCATACGTTTCATTCCCACTAGGTGATACTTCCAACCATTATCAAGTAGGACTTGATTTAAAAATCATGACTTCCCTTAGCCTCAGACCAACCCCGCCAGAAGAGACAGGAACGAGGGGTTTATAAACTTAGTTTAATGGAACAGGGTCTTAGAATATTAGGCAACTTCCAGTGTGTTGCAGTATGTCCTGTGATGTACCAGTGTGCCCAAAAATGGGAAATGTTGTGCAGAAATGAACAAAGGGACAGACAGCTCGGTGGAAACTTGATCAAGTGGCGGTCTACCGTGTGAGTCAAAAAGCCAACCAAGTCAAGGATTTCGTCAACAGCGCTCCCATAGTTTCTCTGAATGGGCTGTCTTATTAGGCTAGATTAGAGGACCACACAGGACAACCACGAATGGAACCGGCACTTTTTTGAGCAACACGTCATGCTCACTTTTTTCATTTTTTTCCCGAAAAAAATTGGTTCCTTCCCATAAGTATCCCATGTTCCACACGAACATCAGAATTCCTCTTGGACTTTTCAGAGTTTCTCTCCAGAGAGTTTTGGGTAAGGAGAACCGAGTTAGAATCCGATGTAGGGATGGCTCTAAAGGTACCTGTTTTTTAGTAACTGCTCAGAGATCTGCAGGTGATTAAACTTTAATAAGAATATAAATTTATTACCTCCCTATTGGAGCTTAAAAATGTAGGCAGTGACGGACTATCGCGAGAACAAACTACTGTGTTCAAAAATGTTCCTTACGCGGAAATTTCTGCTAAGTTTGCCCCAAAACTTTCATCAATCTGTAACACATCAGGAATACAAAGATGAAATCTGTTTGGTTACCTATCATACACTTAGTCAGTGGCATCTATAGACGTAATGCTCGAATATCGTAATGACTGAAACATGAGGCGGCCTGGTGCAGCAAATTCGGTTGCCTGGAAACATCAAAACCGAGAGATTCAGCTGGGTTCCAGGTGAGTCTCTCGAAAAACCAAATTAGTTTGCAAATGAGTGTATATTCGCCAGTTTCGTGAGATTCGAGTTCAGATACAACATAAGGTTGACATAAACTCGGGGACTGTGTCTACCTGCTGAGCCCGAATTGGGAGGGCAAAACCGGTCGTGGGCTGTCGACGAATTTTCAGCAACCTTATGAGTAGTGCATTACGTCTAAACATGTATCGCGATTTCTCGAATATCGTAGCGATTAAAACACGAGGCGGCCTGGTGCAAAACATTCAGTTGCCCGGAAACATCACAAACGAGAGATTGAGCTGGGTTCCAGGTGAGTCCCTCGCAAAGCCAAATTTGTTTGCAAATAAGTGTATTTCGCTAACATAGAGCATTTGTTGATCCAGCAACCCGAGAAGTTTGTATCACGCTACGGTTTTGTCCAAGTCGATAATCATTGGTTTAATTATTAACTACGAGGTGCGAATGGTGCTCATTCATAGGTTTGTTCAAAAGTGTACCGATCATTGTGGTCAAAGAAAATAAGAGGTTCACAAAGGGTAGAAATGAGACCTCTACGCTCATCGGACCAGTGTTTGCCAGTCGGAGTTGCTAGACCTCTTTTACGAGAGTGAAATAAATATACGTGATTTACCACAGCAGCGTTTGTCAACCCTAAAGAACCTCAGAATGGGATGTACCAGTCAAGCAGCTAACGCCATTCTCAAGCTTGATAAAAAAGAATCAGCTGATTCATGAAACAAAGTATGGGAGTTTGTAGTGCTGCCAGTCTCAACCTCCTCTGGTGACGCAATTTCACAGCTGAGAGGAGAGTCCCATTGAATCAGTTTAGGCGATTAAAGTAAGACGCAGTAAGACTGATGTTGACTTTATAACGTTGGTAGGATTTCTAGTTTCATGTAAAATGCCGTGTTGCGGTTTTTAAAAGGCCCACTTTCTTTCTGAACAAATTTCAGTGTTCCCCATGCTTCCCAAAAGTAAATTTATGGCGGTTTTTCACCCCCCTCCCCTTGCACATGCATTAACAAAGTGCTCCCGCGTTTCAGCTCAACAACAAATATGGTTCTCGCAATACTCATGGACTTAATATTCGGAAAGGATATGCACAGTTTCAGAAATAGAAAAAGGCATTCACGAGAAACAGGGTAGCTTTTTCCAAGGATTCCACGCGTAGTTATATTATTTATTTATTTATTTATTCATTTATTTTATATTAATGACGTTAAATGCACGCTGCTAGAATAAAAGTTCCCTCCTGGGATAACCATTCCTTATCATAACTGCTCATCGACTCATATAGAGGTAATATATCGATCCATCCACGAAAACGATAGTGTTGTCCATCAGTAAGTGGGTTATGTCATCTATCTTAGAACCAAATGTCTATTCTGTATGAATGCACACAATACATAAACCGTGTATTTCAAGAACGTTCAACCGCTTACTCATTGGTGAATTCTCCAGCGCACACTATCACCTTGTATACAGTCTCATCGCATCGCGGACTGATTTCACTGTTAAGACTCATTCGCAAGGAGACGTTGGCCCGACTCTGGCAAGGAAACAAAGAT